TTTAGCTTTTATCCTTTGGTGCACTGTTACATTAAAAATCCTGTTTAGTTGTTTTTTACATCCCAATACAAAGAGCTTTTTGGTCAGAGAGCCTGGATGGGTCAGGAAACACTGCTGATGTTGGCCCGTAAAGCCCACTGAGATATTTTATGTGAGTCCATGCCCAAAAGGAACTAGTACAGAGCTCATTTAGAGGAGAGGAGAGGGCTTTGATTTGAACTTTAAAGTGGTGAGAAAGTTGTGGAACACAGAACCTAGCAGCTGAGTCAAAGTCAGATCGGCTGTTAGCCGCCACCATTTTATTGATCTTGGATTAGAAATGTGAGCCCAGTGTGTTAGTGGGCCATGGATTTAGGCCTTGTGTGTGTGTGTGTGTGTGTGTGTGTGTGTGTGTGTGTGTGTGTGTGTGTGTGTGTGTGTGTGTGTGTGTGTGTGTGTGTGTGTGTGTGTGTGTGTGTGTGTGTGTGTGTGTGTGTGTGTCTCTAAATGGGTCATACAGCAGGCTTTATTGATCCCTTGTCAGTTTTAAGTGTTAGATCCTGCTGGTGATGTTGCTGCAGGAGAATCTCTATAGATCTGACCTATCACTAGTATACACACACACACCTACAGCGAAAGTCAGAAAGAGATGGCATTTTAATTAGACATTGACATTCACCTTACTCCCACAACTTTTTTTTAATGTGTGTACACTGACATAGTGTAAAACAGAATATACACCACAGTTATATTTATAACGCAGGTGTAGGTGGTATTAACCAGAGAGCAGAGTGTAAGTCTATCTGTCTCATCTATAATAAACAACCAGCTAGTTAGCACTGACCTTAACCGCAGCATTAAAGCCATTATCTTTGTTTATGAATGGAAATACCAATTTAAACACACCACAGAGCTCTAAATCAGCTCACATGTAATACAGCCTTTTTTCTCCGGTATTAAAATTTCATGCTACAACTATTGTGGACAATAACATCATGGTACACAGCATTAACACAATAATCGTCAAACTACCCTAAAATATGACAATTAGTGCTAAAATCCAGTCAACTTGAAATAGAAATATTCAGACCTAATGAACTAACTTGCAGCTTTGTTGGACTCAGCAAATTAACTTATATCAAATACACTAAAGACACCATAAATAAAAAGTTTTTAAAAGTTTAAGACAGTTGACCTAAAATAACTTTAAATGCAGCACAGTGACTGTTTGTCTTTGCACTCATTCATGTCTTTCTACATATTCTGATTTCTTTTGAGTGTTAATAGTTGTGAAAGAATCCAAAAACCCTGCACACCGTTGACCACTCCTGTCTTAAAGACTTGACTGGAGTGCAAGAATTTTAAGTAAGTAAGGATTACATGCTGGGTGTTAATAGTTAAAAGGCATAACTTTATAACATAATAGTAATGGACTGTGGCAGTTATATTGGGCTCTTATTCTGGTTTGCTGCTCGTGCTTTGTCTCTCTTTGACCAATGGAAAGGTGCTTCTGCATGGTTTATCAAAAACAACATTTAGCTGAGCTGTGCTGTGTTCACGGTTCCCTCAGGTGTTGTTAAAATCAGAATCTTTCCCCTCTTTATGTAGTCAAACTGCTATACTGACACATCTATTCTTCCAATATGTGATATATAAGCCATACTGTGGTTTGTTACTCAATCTACCCTTTGATAAGGGTATACAGTCATCACATGAGTTTAGAGATATTTTGAAAATGTAGTGATTTTATATGACACTGACCCATCACTGATATCGGATTTAAAGTGTATTAGAAAGTTCATTTAGAAAGGCTATTAGTGTTCTCCATAGTGTTTTTAAATTGTGGTCACTACAACTACTGTCATACATGAGATATGGGGGGAGAGCAGCATTGAGCTGAGGGTGATATCATGTAACAGTCAAAGATGATCCCCTGGGAAGACACTGCCATTTTTTGTCCTTTACGAGTGGTCTCGACTATTAAGAACAAGCGAACTTCCTGTGCATCCAGCGACCTTGTGGCCAGCTTCTGAGTGGTATGTCATTCCTCGGGGAGCCATCTTTGTAACAGCACATACAGCATCTGTGTTCCACACTGCCCTCCTGCTACGTAGGCTCTGCTGACAACGTCGTCAAAGCCACACAAACACTCTCACGATGCTGTAAGCTCTTATAGCTTATTCAACAGTATGTGCATTGTCAAAGCACAGACAATTTTTAGACTCGCTAATATTCCAAAGTGTTATCTGCTCAGTTAGTCTGTTATAATGCTAATGTTAAGACTAGTTTTCATGCTAAGCTCAAGGCAGCCTAAGTCAGTTATGCTGTGTTTAGTGTACCTTAGATTGATAGAAGTTTAGCCAGGTCTGACAGTGTAGAGCTGAGTCTGACAGTGTAGAGCTGAGTCTGATAGGCTGAGTCTGAGTCATCCTAAAATACATTCTTCACATAACAACATGGCATTTTCGCTGGTGTCCTCAGTGTGATGTTTGGGCCACACATTAGAATTTTTGCTAGCTAGTGGTAAGAATCTAAGAGGAGCAAAGCTATTTTTCATTCAGTTTGTATTCTGGTTAAATAAATCAGTATCAGTCAATCATAGTGATGAAAATTTCCTCTTACTTGCTTAATGTAGTATATTTAGTTTTTAATTAATGGTCATTGACCTCATCTGTACGGCAGCATATTGCTGCCTCACCAGAAGTTATAACAAGATGTTTTTCATGTTGTTAAAAGATATTGTCATGTTATTACAACATACAAAGTTATAGCTACACCTTATAGCAAGAAACTTTTATTGTTATAACTATGTATTATTTATTGTGTTATATTAAGCTTCCGTATGTGTATTGATGAAACAAACAAAAACCTCTTGGCACAGCTTCCAGACTGACAGTGCGTTACTGCTGTATTCCTGCTGTGCCTTAAAGACATCTGGTAGCCAGCTCACATGTTTTATTCACACTGTACAGTGTGTGTGTAAGACAGAGAGAGAGAGACGGGTTGGGTCTCTCATTACCTCCTGGTGTATAGGCCAGTGTAACATTATCTGCAGGTATTGCACTACCTCTACAGCGAGTACCTCAGAGCTGTCTGTGCAGCTCAGTTGGAACTGTGGTGTAAGCTGATCAGCTGTCATTTATTTGCCTGGTTAGCAGCTGACACTCTACACCAGACCCCATATGTCTTTAAGTTGTGACAGTGACCAAATATATAAGAAATGTGAATGGGTTTTTCCAGTCCGTGTTCACTATGGAAACAACAGCACCTCACGTGTACATTTTGATCTCTTTAGTGTGTGTGAGACTGTGTGCAGGTGTGTGCTGTGTTTTTGATTGTATTATTCCAGCCAACCCTTCCCTGCTGACAGTCACTTCCCTCATCCCAAAACACCCAGATCTAAAACACACACACTGCCATTAGCACATTTCCCTTCTCCTTAGCCAGGGGTCATCAGCATGTCTCCTCCCATGTGTCCTTCTGTAAAGCTAATGTCTTCCTATGTGACCTTATTCCCCTGTCATATTTCCTCATCTCAAAACAACATGCTTTGGAAGACAAATTACAGGTTTTGATGAAGACACTGCTCCTCCCTCTCTCTCGATGCACTGGTCTCTGTGATTGCTTTTGATTCATTAGAGTTCAGAAGAAAATATTTTAAATGTTATTATTTGTTGTTCTTTGTCCGTCTGGACAATCAGGTGTGTTTTAGGAGACAGGAGAGGATATTCTGGAATGGAAAGCATTCCCTCCTAGTGGGCTGTTTCTTTCCTGACTCACACACACAGATTCTTTGTCGACAGCAGGGTGTTTCCTGTTGGCTCCTCGCCTATACACACATGCAAACATGTAGGCACACAAGTCTGGGTCAGTAGGTGGCTGGACTTTGATTCATTTCTACAAAATGTGTTTTGAAAAAGAAGAACATGTAGGCAGATACTGTCGGCTCTGCTTCCACACCACAGTAAACAAGCTGCTGTTAGAGGAGCAACTACTAGTTAAATTACTTGTTGTCCTCTTCTGTGCTCATTACTATGAGTTTCTGTAGGTTGTATTTTTGGAACATACATACATAAATCTTCTTTTGTGCTACAGGATGCAGCTTAGGAATGATCTGCCTGCAATCAAAATTACAGAAACCATTATATAAATGTCAGAGAATTCTTTCATGATATCATGCACATTTAGCCTTTCTTTTAGTCTCACCAAACAGTTAGAGAAATATTATGTGGGCAGATTAGCTTTGTTAAAGGACCCTGAGACCTCTGCATATATGTTAACATTTCAGCTCAAATCAGAATCATCTAGACCTGTGACATGTGACACTTTATAACCTTCACTTCTGCCAGTGAATTATTTTCTCTGTGTGCTCTGTCTACCAATTTAGTTATTTATCTTCTATTAATTTAAATTTGAATGAGGCTCTGTTTTGTCTACTGTTTAGCCACATAATTGTGTAATCTTGTTTCTATTCCATGTGTCCTATCTCTCAGCTTTTACATTGTCATGTGATATATTTGATGTCTTATTTTGCCCTGTTTGAAAAGGAAACAATACAATTTAAGTGACTATTTAGAGTCCAGCAAATGCATTGGCATGACTTATATTAGCAACTGATTTTTAGGCGTAAAAATTGGCCAACAAGCAACGATATGTTAGAGGTTGTTTAAAACTGTTTCCCAGGCCAGCCAGAGAGCACTAACAAGTTGTCCTGCTCAGTACATATCTTGATGACAATTCTTTGATAACCAAACTTAAAGGATCCTTATTTAAAATGTTGATGTGATTATGTTAAAAGACAAATATTAGTGCTTAAATTGTTATCAGATTTCTATTATTGTTATCAGTGTCACCTTAATGCTTTTGTTGCCCCCAGTTGATGGGCAGTGTCTTGTGCTCCTGCAGTGTTTATCAATAACCCTTTTTCACAGTTGTCATCATGACCATAAAATTAAACCATGTATTTGTTCTTTCTCTGTCTTTGCCCCACAAACCCCCCAACCTCCTCTTCTCCACTACAGGAGACCTTACAGCAGTTAATAGTCATGCCCCTTCCTAACATCCTCTGCATCGCCAAGGATCCCATATCAGGTAACACAGACTGCCACACATCATACACCCTGGGCTATTACTGTCTAAGTCCTACATATTTCTACTACCTTCTTGTCTGTGCTTTAACGTATTGACGTACTGTATCACCAATGACCATACAGTATACTGGCATGGTCCTCCTTAACGTTTTGTTTGGATTGCTACCATCCTATTTATCTAATTACATTCCCTTTGATCCCATGATTTAATCCTGTTCAGTTTCCATGGCCTCGCTGAATTTGGTAAAGAAAAAATCAGTTTCTTCTTCTGCTTGGAGCTCATTTTAAACATTGGTCTATTTGAGAATTTAAAGGATCACTGCAGGAACTGGAAGTAGTTTCTTTTTGCTGCTGATGTTATGATTCATGTTAGGCACATAAATCATGTTGAGGTGATTAGATGCTTTATTGATTTACTGCTTAATAGTTTTGAACTTTAATATGTAGTGATGTTACATAATGGCTATTAAAAGAAAATTCATGATGATATATGTTTATTAATCTCATTACATTCATACTTTATATAGTCTCACATGTACTTATCTGGAGATACAATTTCTAACCTTAATGAAGTTTTCCTGTTTAGATAAAGGTCAAAAAAGAAATGCGTGGTTGGCTGTTAGCAATGACAGAAACAACATCAATCTAAGTGCGTGATCTGCTCTGAATCTTAGTCATAAAGTCTATTATACTGAATCTTACTGGCAGGATAAAGATGTCTTGCTAGGCTTGTTATAAGCATGAAGAGTCATTTGTGGACGACTATTCCCATCCTCCTGAATTTTCAGGTATCTTGGTGTTGTAATTTGGTGAACCCAAGTTAAAATGACATCCTTCTTTCCTTAATAGAAAATCAAACTAAGAGAAAAAAATTGCTCCAGTGTCTGTACAGTGTGAAAAGTCTGCTTTGAGAGAATTGTGGCAGTGGTGCACAGATCTGTTGATATTGGCTGTGTCTTTGCAGACTGTGCTGTTAAATTGTGGTTTGTATTTGTTTGTATTGGATAACAATAGTCTGTAGTCAGCATTGAAAAGTTATCTGTAGCATAGTTTACTGTAACACTGCCTGAGGTGCGAAACAGCCACAATATGGATTATTTCTTTCTTCTTTTGTTCAGCTGTATCAAGATTTCTTGCATTTGAAGTGTTTTGTAAACTCTGCTCCAAAAGTGTAAAATTAAAAAAAAAGGTATATTTTCTCTCTCTCTCTCTCTCTCTCTCTCTCTCTCTCTCTCTCTCTCTCTCTCTCTCTCTAAAATTATATATATATGTTCTGATATACAGTATCTCTCTGTTTTGTTTTCTCCAGCTAAGAGCATGGAGGATATGAAAAGACTTTTGTTGCTGATACTAGGCTGTGCTGTCCAGGTAACACACACACACACACACACACACACACACACACAAACACAGCAGCTTACTGTACCACCCAGTCTCTCCCAGGAAGTGCATTTGTGTCTGTTTAGTTTTGCATGTCTGAGCACAGCCGCTCAGTGTGTCTGCTGATAAGGTACAGGGTGGGTTAAAATGCAGGTGGAGTCACATCAGTGGTTTATATACAACAATAACCATCAGGATTATGGTCCTACAAAATGAAAATGTTTGGCACAGTTTGATGGTTAAGTGCTTCAGGGTACTGTAACTGTTGTTTTAATATAACAATTAAGTCAGCAACAAGTTTGGGAGTATAAGCAGCAAAATTTGAAAAGCAGAATTAAATAAAGGATCAGGCAGACATGGCAGGTGAAGAGTTAATTGGGTTAGGTGCAATTAAAGAGGAGGGGCTAGTCATGTGGGAGGCTGGGGCGCAGGTGGTTTCTCTGTCAGCTCTTTGTTGTCCCCACCTCTCCCATGGCTCTGAACCTACCTAACAGTTTTTTTCATCTCACCTTTTTCTAATCTTCCTTTGCCCGCGGCTGCTCTGTTTCTCTCTTCCTCGCTCCCTCCTTCCTAATTTCCCTCCCTTTCATTCAGTCTTCCCCTCCTTTTGTCTCCCTCCCTACCTGTACTGGTTTTACTGGTTCCAGGAAGGAGGAAGGCCATGAGGGAGCGATGAATGGAAAAAAAGAGGAAGGGAGGGGTGGATAAAGCCACATGAAAATGTTGTTGATGCTGTACAAAATAACTCTCCACCCCAGCAGTAGGCAAATAAATAAACATTTGCCATTCATATTCTTCATCGAACTACATTTACCATAGTCCTGTAAGGCTTGAAACCAATGTAATGGCAACACAGATAAATATTAACAACCACTATTTTATTAAATGTATTATCAAATTAAATTTTAATTCCCTCCTGTTTTTTGTGTGTCTGTGTGTCTTTGTGTTTGTGTGTGTGTGTGTGTGTGTGTGTGTGTGTGTGTGTGTGTGTGTGTGTGTGTGTGTGTGTGTGTGTGTGTGTGTTTTTGTGTGTGTGTGTGTGTGTGTGTCTGTGTCTGTGTGTTTTTGTGTGTGTGTGTGTGTGTTGTGTGTGTGTGTGTGTGTGTCAGTGTGAGCGTAAAGAGGAGATGATAGAGAAGATCAAGCTGCTGGACATTGAGACCCAAGCTGCCATCGTCTCTCACATCCAGGAGGTCAGTACAGCACAATGCTAGCCTGTGATAGAAATAAACCAGCAATAAATTAGATCACAAGTTCAAATATCTGTTGAACAACTTCACTGATATCATGATGAATGCAATCATGTGATCGAAATAAGTACAGAATGTGGGACTAGTTGCTTGATAACAGGTGGTTGTATAAGTGGGGATACTCCTGTCTCTCTCTGAGGTGGTCTCTGCCGTTGAATGTTAATGTATTCCTTGAACCTTCTTGAACGGCCTTTCTCTGGCCGTTCACTGACTCCCGGGGCCAGATGTATAAAACTGCAGATTCATGACTAAACCTTTGTGTATGCAGAAATATGCATGTGCTATCTTTTCTTCAGAATTATGAAGGAGTGTGCATGGGTGGTTCTGTTTTTATAAATCTCAACCATGTGAACTGGACACACATGCACAAGCCTTATTTCCACTCAGATAGTAAGCTGTAAATGGATGTCGACACACCTTAAATCAACTTTTTGCATATAAATACTCTTTCCTGTCATTAATTTGCCTTTATGTAACTGTACCAGTGATATTTCCATCACCACTACTAACTCCACAGTGACAGAACTAGCTTGACTGCCAACACTGTGGTTCAGAGCCATTTGAACTGCTATCCTAAAGGTCCTGTGTGACATTTAGGAGGCTCTATTGTCAGAAATGGAATATAATATTCACAGGTATGTTTTCATTAGTGTATAATCACCTGAATATAAGAATCGTGTGTTCCCTTAGAATAAGACGTTTTTATCTACAGAGGGAGCGGGTCCTCTTCCACAGAGTCTACCATGTTAAGCCGCCTTGTTTCTACAGTAGCCCAGAACAGACAAAGCAAACACTGGCTCTAGATAGGGCCTTTCACTTTTTTTTTTCCGGCCACTGTATGTTCTCCTACACGCTTGTATTATTCTTCTGCAACTTCACCGCTAGATACCAATGGATCCTACACACTGGTCCTTTAATATCAGCTTAGTGAGTGACAGAACAGAGGATATGAGTGATTGGTAGGGAGGTGTACTCCAATATTTTGTATTGTCCATACTGTCCATATAACAGTGCTCGTTGTAATCTCTGTAAAATGATCATTAAAAGTAAGGGTGGAAAAACTGGGAGAATGAGGAAACATCTTTCTGCGTAACATGGGTTTACATTTCAGGAATGCCTGTATTTGACACTATACACGAGTGCCACTACTTCCCAACTGAACAGCACGCCTGTTAAAGAGTGTAAATATTCTGTTCTAATAGCATTAGCGCCACGCAGGCAGGCTTTTTTATTTGACTTAGAATGCCTAAACAAAAACAAATGTTCTAAATTAAACAACGGTTAAACAGTGCAGCTTTTTCAGACCTGAGTCACATGCCTTTTTTATACTCTTTTACTACACAGTATTCAGACTCAGATAATAAAACAGTTGCGGTAATGCTGAAAACCTGTATAGGCATACTTTTTTCCAACACAGAAAATGAATTGACAAAGAATCGGACCGATAAACAGAATCAGTAATGGCATTGGTATCAATAAAATCGTATCAATTCCAATCCCTACTGGACAGAATTCCTGGATTTTCTCTGTAAAAAGGAAGATATATAATAAACAGTATAAACTGGAACCAGGATCAATAGAGTAGAATAGAGTAATGAAGTGACTGCACATGTAATTTACTAACTCAAGTGGAACAATGTTGACCTGTATGTTAGTTAAGGTGGTTAGAGTTAAAATGATATATTGACCGATGTTCACTGTGGTAGCTTACCATCTTCTTCCTGTTTACTCGTTTACATAATATGTTGGTTGATATAATGATGTTGCTACTGGAGCAGCCCAGTTTGGTAAATGTGTCATCCACCCATCAGTACCAGATATCAGGTATTACAGTAGCCATTTGTTCCCTTAAGTTTGTTCACTACAACCTCCTAGAAATGCCTGACACTATGTGCATTGTTTTATCTCCATGCAGCATGAAACATGTCTAACATCAGCTGACATCATAGAACAATAACAGCAGTGTCAGCGGTAATCAATTAAAAGACTGTCCATTTTGTTCTCAATGTGATATTTATGTTAGCTACTTCCTATTTTCAGACAGCTTGTTTATTTACTTCAGCTCAGCCATATCAAGTCAGCCCTTTATTTCTCTCCTGGATGACATCAGGCTAATGATGTAACCATGCTATTTAACCTCTCCAGCCCCACAGACACCTCAAAGAAGCTGCCATAACCTGCTGTGTGGACAACCATTGTTCACTCCGAACCTCAATATTTTCAATTCCTGTTAAGATCACAAGGTCTTTAAACATGTCAAGCCGAATTACAGTGTTAAGTGTTACATGTTCAGTAAATACTACAGTCAGATATTTTATCTAACTTTGAACTTTGAATCTACCTTAGCAAAATGTTTAAGGGAAGTATTGGGGACATACAAATTCAAAAGGTTAAAGGAATATACAGTTGTCCTGCTTTATCTAAAAAGGAAGCCACTATAATATTATATACAGTCTGACTTATGCTGTATTTTATCTGTTTGTTGCAGGTGACTCATAACCAGCTGAATGTTCTTGACCTGTCCTGGCTGGAGGAAGGATCAGAGCTCACACATGATGAACTGGAACCTTTGTCCCGCAACATGGCTGCGTCACTACAGCAACTGATTGACCAGAGAGACAAAGCCAGTGAGGTACAGACACCAACCATTATTGGCTACTTCTTATATCATTATTATGATGCAGTTAATTTGGTTACATGCATTTGATTATTGTGATTAAAGTCCAATTTGTAGTATTCAATGGTGTAATGCTGTTTCAGAAGATCAAATTTTAAAGGTATGAAAAGTTTGCAGGAGTCTGTTTGTAGCATTATTTCAATGGAAAACCAATAATTAAACGTACATTTTAAAAAAATGAATGCCTTTCAGGTTATTGTGGATCTGACCCAGGAGAGGGACTATCTGTTCAGTAAGCAGCCCCAGGAAGGGTGCAGGAACCTGGGATTGAGCAGCCCGGAACGTGGGAAGAGTTCTGGAGGTGTGGGAGTGAATAACGGCGGATCATCTGTGATTGGGCCTGGGCTGACCAAAGAGGAGAAGCAGCATCTATCTGTGGAGCTCGCTGATACCAAGGCCAAGCTGCGCAGATACAGACAAGAACTGTGAGTCTTTTGCAACTTAGTAAAGCAAGAGAGTAAAAACTGGGATGTTGGTTCAAAAATCTGTACATAAACTAATTCAAATTATTCCAAGCTGCTTATTATATTTCATATAATGTTAACAATGTTATTATATGACTACTAGTAATGTAAAAACTGACGACCCACAGAATCAAATCTCACGATGTGGCTAAAGCAGTAGCTCATTGCACACTACAGAGTTCAAAGAGTTTCTGTGGGTATCACTGGTTTAAGGCTGAACTGTGGTGACACAAGCAGCAGCTGGAAGTCATTATGCATCCAACATTGCTTATTATGCTGTCTGGTTCTGATACATCTACAATGTAATCACATAGGGGATCCATCTATTTGGAGGTACACTCCCACTTTTGCAGAATATACTGTCTAGATTATTTTAGCTAGAAATATTAAAGACTTCCAGTAAGACAAGTCCACTGTATGTTTCTCCAATCTCATTAGTTGTCAAACTCTTTAATTACTATCAACCTATGTAGACATTACCTGGGTGTGGGGCTGATTATACACTACAACATAATGATGGATTGTAAAATGTTTAATTGAAGTTAAACTGTTATTTGTGTGTGTGTGTTTGCAGGGAGGAGAAGACAGAGCAGCTGATGGATTCAAAACATGAAGTGGAGCGTCTGGATCAGGAGTTACAGAGACTGAAACAAGAGGTCAGGGTCCACTTACAACCAGTAGTGTCAGATCTGTGTGATTAGAGTAAAACACACTACACAGGGTTTGGCATTGATTGAAGGCAGTTTTTTATCAGGGCTGGTCCAATCAAGTTGTGAGTCTGATTACAAAGTTTTTGTTTGTCTACACAACACTCTTCAAGCTAGGGTTGCATAATAATATTGACTTATTGTTGGTCAATAATGGTTTTATAATGGAATATGCCTATGCCGATATATTCACCAAAAATATGTGCATATATTGGCATGCGCAGAAAATATTTGCATATCGGATATTGGCAAAAATCCAATATTGTGCATCCCTCCTTCAGATCTAATATGGATGTTTCCCTGCTGTGGCAGGAAGGTTTGGACCAGGTTTGAACAGGGTCTGGGAATTTAAGGGTTGCTTTTGTTTCTTAAAGCAAATCAATTATGCTCGCATTGAATCACAGTGCTATTACGATTAGCACCAACAACATCTATTTATATGTCCGTGCTGCCTCGACGGCTATCAAGCCTGTAGGGTATTAAGTTACAACACACAAACCATCAGAAATAGATTGTAGTTTATACAGTCTATCAATATAAAAATCACTTTATCACACTTCATACAATCATGTTGATTGACGTGGGACACCATTGGTTCTTATAGTTGCATTACAACACTTACAATAACTTTGTAGATAGTACAGTTTCATTGGTTGGTAGGGTAAACAATCTGTGTGTGTGTGTGTCTGTGTCTGTGTCTGTGTCTGTGTGTGTTTGTGTGTGGGGGGTTCAGAACCAGTCGCTGTCTTGCGAGGCTCGTTCGGTCAGAGTGTACCGGGACGAGGTCGACTCTCTGAGGGAAAGAGCGGCCCGGGTCGACCGACTGGAGACTGAACTGAGCAGATGTAAAGAGAAACTCAATGATGTTCACTTCTACAAGACCAGAGTGGAGGTATGAGCACAGCTTCACAATAAACTACACATCAATATACAGTTGAGGCTCACCTTGAAAGACAGTATCCTGTATTGGGTAGGATCTGTAAAGGTTCACTGGATTGCAGTGCTTTTGTAGATTTTCATACGGTTGGGTGCCTAGCCTTATTGAAATGCATAAACCTTTCACCTGGTTTATTATAACTGAATGATACCAGACTGAACTTTACAGCAGCAAAAACTCTACATTTATGGATGCCTACCTTATTGAAATGGAAAATCCAATGAACGCCGCAGAAGTGGCAGTCCACTCAGAGTGTGTGTGTGTCTGTGTGTGTGTGTGTGTGTGTGTGTGTGTGTGTGTGTGTGTGTGTGTGTGTGTGTGTGTGTGTGTGTGTGTGTGTGTGTGTGTGTGTGTGTGTGTGTGTGTGTGTGTGTGTGTGTGTGTGTGTGTGTTTGGTCATTCAGGAGCTTCGCGATGACAACTTGACTCTGATGGAGACAAAGGTGCTGTTGGAGGAGCAGCTGTCAGCTGCCAGGGGGCGCTGTGATAAACTGCACACGTTGGAGAAAGACAACCTGTTGCTGCGAGCTAAAATCCACGACCTGGAAATGGTATTACATATTGTCATTATCAACAAAGTATACGTCAATGTTATGTAAAGGCTATTCTAAAGGCTTTTCCATATTATACTCTGAAGAGGACAATGAAACTGCAAATGTTTTGGTGCAAACGTATATAAGTTATATAAAATATATTGAGTTATAATGTAATTTGCACAAATATCTGATCAAAGCAACCATGATTATGATTATGATTGTTGTTCTTACATGTAGGCACAAAATATTGCCTATTAGCACCCATAATTCAATAATACTTACAAGTTACTGTTAACCTGTTACTGCAGGAGAGGGACAATGAGCGTCGAAGGTTGGAGGAGCTGGTGGAGGAGAACATGCTGCTGGAGATTGGACAGAAACAGAGTATGAACGAGTCAGCTCACCTAGGCTGGGAGCTGGAACAGCTGACCAAGAACCATGACAACACTAACACAGAGAGTATGACACACACTATTATATTTCTATTATATTCTGTTATATCCTGTTCTATTTGTGTGTCCAGAAATGTTATTCTTTATATTTTGTCTCTGCTGCAGCTCGTAAGTCGCTGGTCCATGAGCTGAACGAGTGCGTTTCCAGCCGGGCATTGAAGCTGGAGAAGGAGAACCGGGAGCTTCAGGCTTCTATAGAGAGACTGAAAGAGGAGAACCACCTCCTGCAGGAGCAGCAGCTTCACACACAGGAGCTGGACAGGGAGAACCAAAGCCTCAGCAAGAAGGTATGAGGCCTGAATGTGTTTAAGCCCTTAACACATTAGCTTTATCGCAGTCTGAGTCTATAAAATAAATCTGGGGAATAACAGATTTAAGTGTTTCTATTACTTGTTTGTATGTTAATTACAACAACAGCACCTTTTATCTTGTTTGTGTGTTAGCTGGAACGTCTCCAGGGTTTATTGGATCAGGAGAGACTGACCAATCAGGACATGGAGTCTCTGGGAGAAGAAATACTGAAAGAAAAACAGAGTCTGGAGAGAGAAATGCACACTCTGAGTGCAGAGAAAGACAGACAGGTTGGTAACACACGCACACACTCAGGTACGACATTGTCGTTATAAGGCACCAAAATGTGTCCTTTATTGATGCCCTCTTCCTATCATCCCGTCCAATCAGATCTCAGAGTTGGAGAGTGAGAAGCAGCACCTCTCTGAGGCAGTGGCGTCCCTTCAGGAGCGTGCTCAGTCTAACAATGTGGCGAGGGTCCGTGAGGTGGAAACAGAAAACCGCCTGCTGCACCAGAACATCACAGACACCAGCTCCCGATTGGCCAGCTTAGAAACCCAACTCAAACTTGCCAGTGAGGAGGCAGAGAGGCTGAGGGAGAGGGCAGGGCGGTGTGAAGAGGTGGAGAGAGAGGCAGCAAGGCTGGAGAGGAGCAGGGACGCACTGAACAGAGAGGTAATAAAAACTATAAATAAAAACAATTTATGTGTGATGTATTCTTTATTAAATGCTAACTGAACTGATCAAAATAATTCTAAGAGACATACTGTTTTACCTTTTTAGGTGAGCTCTCTGCGAGCATGCAGCGAGCGGTCGGAGGCTCTAGAGAAGCAGGTGTCTTCCCTGGAGCAGGAGATGCACAGACTGAAACGGGAGGCAGAGGAGGCCCAGCAGCGAGTGGGGAAGCATGAGGGGGAGAACAGCTTGCTGTCGAAGGAGAACTTAGATCTGCGCTGCTCCATGGAAAACCTGCGCTCCTCATCCGCCCGCCTGGCCACCCTACAGGAGGAGCATAAAGACGCACAGAGAGAGATACAGGAGCTGCAGAGGAGGCTGGAGGAGGCCAGAGAGGAGGCACAAGGAGAGAGGAAGAGGGTAGAGAGGCTTGAGCTGAATATGACTGCTCTGAACCAGGAGAAGCATCGCTTAGAGGAGGAAGTGCAGAGGAGCAAAGAGGAGAGGGAAGAGGTAGAGAGAGAGAGTCGAGATACGCAGACCAGAGAGGAAGAACTGAGAAGGGAAGTCGAAGAACTGAAGCAGGAGCGGAGGAGGAGGGAGGAAACTGACAAGGAGAGGAGGAAGCTCCAGTTGGACCTAGAGCAGTCGGAGAAGGGCAGGAAGCAATTGGAGAAGGAGAGCTGGAGGATCAGAACGCTGCTGGAGGGTAAAGAGACAGAGCTGGAAGAGAAAGCCAGGCAGCTAGCTGCAGTGGAGAAAGAGGGCACAGCTCAGAGTAAGCAAGTGGATAGGCTGAAGGAGGTGGTAGTGAAAGCTAAGGAGCTGGAGAGGGAGAACAAGGAGCTGCAGAAACAGGCGACTATTGATAAGAGGACTCTGGCTACTCTGAGAGAGGTGAGAGGAAAAAGCTTCAGGACTTGTCCCACAGAAAGTCTATATTCTTGCATGAGGTAAAAGATTTTCAAGGAGTGAACATGTTCATTTTATACCAGGTCTAAATGAACAAGTAAATCTGTTGACATGATTAGGTCCGATGCTCTGGAGCTTTTGATTGTATCAATCTTTGTGATGGATGACGTTTTTTGCAGATGTCACTGAATTTGATGTTGAGTTTCTAAGTTCATTCTTGATCTTGTAAATATGTCTGCACAATTATTCGAATATTAATAGCGATCATGATTTTGGCTTCCCAAAATTAAATTACGTGATCGTCTACGATACACGTGTTTGGCTCATCAAAAAACTCTATCTATCTAATCAGGCACTTCCTGAACTAACAGCCAGCCACCATGGGTGATCAAGATGTTATGGTTTCACTTTTGAGTCTTCATGTTGCTGCACGAACAGCCTACAGCTGCAGCCTGAATACTTTTATTCCCTGAAAAAATATTAAGTTATTGCTAACGAAAACCAAACATTTCCTACTGCTGCGGCTTCACATTAAAAGCATTTCACTGGTGACATGAGTTGACTTTTATTTTGAAGTAAGCCCGTCACAGGAAACTCAGTGTTTTTCAATTAACTTGGCACCGGCTGCTTTCGTTCAACAAAAATGTGTCTACAAAACAAGACAACAATAATCGTGATTATAATTTTGGCCGTAATCGTGCAGCCCTACTCGTCCAAGGTCCATTTAGTGGACAACTCCTTGGACAACAAGGAAGCTCATATGATATGATTGAAAGCTCAACAGCTAAAAAACTGACTTTGTAGTGATGTTTTTTGTCAGCTACCATTTCCATGCACCAGAATGAACTCAACAGAAAATGAATAACCCAATGATAAATTTATAACCACTCATTTTATTGGGTAGATAACACTGACTGGTTTATATCCAGTTTGTAATACAAGACTATGGAAAGTTATGGAAATGTAGATGTGGAGTTTCATAGTTGTGTGTCATGTATCTTTGTGTGCAGGAGCTGGTGTCAGAGAAGCTGAGTGTTCAGCAGCAGAGTGTCGAGTTAGAGAGGCTCAATGAAGAACTGGAGAAGATTGGACTGAACAAAGAAAAACTACTGCAGCAAGAGCACACACTGGAGGACAGGTAGTTTTCTCTAATATATGGTATTTTGGCCCCATTGTAGGGCTAGTAATCAGGTTTAAAATATTTCACGTGTAGAAATTCATCTTGGGTGTGTAATTGATTGCGTGTAATTGTCTGTCAGTAGGTACAGGCTGCTGGAGTCTCGTCTGGAGGAAACTGTCCAACAAACAATGAAGATTAAAGAGGAGAAAATTTCTTCTCTGGAAAAGAAAGTCGAAGAGAGCAAAGCACTCAGCGCTACACTACGCACCGAACTAGCTACTGTAAGGACATGCATACAAATTCTTTTAAAAAAAAAAACAACTCACTCCCCATCTGGTTGGTTAAACCAACTATCTAATCCTGATCCTCCGTGCTGTAATGAGACTTAACGTTATATATGCCTCAGTAATCTAAAGTCCTCATCATTTGCTCACTCACAAGTTAAAGGTTATATATACAAAACTCACTTGACACTAGATGTCGCACTAGAGCACAAGCATCTCAGACCAAACAGTGAGTATTACAGCCAACCAGACTCCATTGACAAAACCAGTTATTTTACCCAGCAGATAACTGTAAAACACCTAAAACTGCGCAGAAACCAAAAGGGTTCCCACAGAGATAACCAGAAACAGTCATATTATATCTATCGCTCACCAGACTCCATTGACAAAAGTGATAATTTTACTTTGCATATCATTGTAACATCGTAACTTCATTCAAAGTGGACAGACACAAAATAAAATTCACCAAAACAGCCTGTTAGTCTTTCCACTGTTCCAAAAACAGTTACAAACTCTGGTTTGGTTGAAAAAAATCCTTATTGCACAAACGCAGATGAAAAAATCAGCTGTTTCAGGTTATTTTGCAATATTGATTAGGAGTTGTTTATATGCATATTCAATTATATATTATTATAAGGTGTTGTAGAGTGTGTTAAATATATATTGTTCTGCTGTAGGCTCGTCAGACAGTGTCTACTCTACGTCAGCAACAGGAGGAGGAAGAAAACCACAACTTCCAGCAGCGCTCAGGCAACGACCGGGGTCAAGGGTCAGCCACCGCTGAACTGCTACGAATCAAAGATCATCTTATTGACATAGAAAAGAATGTAAGTAAGCATGTAATGGTTTCTTTGATGTTTTCTTTAGATGTTTATTTTCCTATACTTCCTGCTTTCATTATTTACCTTAGTAATTGTTTTGGTGTCATTATTCTCTCCAGAATGCCTCCCTGCAGACAGAGAGCAGTCTATTGAAGGAGCAGCTCAAACAGCTGGATAACCAGAACACAGCTCTGAACAACCAGATGGTGGCACTGCAGCGACACACCACCACCCTGCAGGAGCAGAATTCAGCTTTACACACACAGACAGCAAAACTACAGGTAAACAATAAACAATGTACTCACATTGTGGTTTTGTCAAACTGGGCTAATCAGTGGCAGTAACACCCTTTGTGCTGTATTTCTCTGATTATGTTTTTGTTGTTGATTTTTTAATGTTCTAATGGATCTCACTATGTCTCAGGTGGAGAACTCCACGCTCTCCTCCCAGAGTGCATCTCTCATGGCCCAGAATGCTGTGCTGCAGGGCCAAGTCACCGCCTTGGAGACAGAGGTAGAGTCGTGGCAGCGACAACGTGAGGAGGCGTGGCGGGGCAGAGAAAGCGTGCTCAGCGACCACGAACGCCTACTGAGCGTCCACGAGAGGCAAGCGCACGAGTACGAGCAGCTTATCAGCCAGCACACTACACTGAAAGGAAAACAGAGGGCGCTAGAGGGTGAACACCGGACGCTACACAGCAAGTACGTGAATAACATACAAACCATAGAATGTCTTTGATAATCCTTGTCCTCTAAAATAACCCTGTGAGGTAAACGCATGATCAGTGAGGGCAAATTAGTAGATCACAAGCTCAATAAGGTCTTTTATTCTAAAGGCCGTTATTTATAGACCGTGTTACTGAAGTATGACTGTAGCAGAAATTGTGTGTTGAGCCAGATGATGAACTGTCCCATGACACTGTTGTTATTTTATAAACATTTTATCAATTGAAGAAACTTAATTTTGGATTGAATTAACCCTGTTAAAGTCACAACTTTGAATTTTTATCAAATCCGTGAAAATTTATTTGTGGAAAAAATGAGCATTACTTAGTGAATACTCTGAGCAAATGTGGCATGATAAACAGAGCTATAGGATTGTTCGCTCCCATCCATACCTCAGAAGGTAGTGGTTCAAATAATATCACTCCTCAGCCACATTCTTTGGAAATATAGACAAAGTTTTTGCCAGCTGAAATCACACACCTCTTGTGTGTGTTTGGACTGTACATTGGCTTGCAGGTACCACACAAACCCGACAGCAACCACATTTTATTTTGGCCTGTCATTAAGTTATTTACAGAATTAATAACACGAGTTGGCAGCAGCTGATATGACTTGCTGTGGCGCTGTTTGTCATTTTTACTGCTAAAAGCGATGGTCAGCACCTGCTGAAAATGAGCTGTTAGCTGAATGTTTACATACCCTGCTCCTTGCTAATGAGAAATAGAGGGGGGAAATAATGTATTTGTTACCATGGGAGCATAGTGGATTTTGACAGCCTTTGTGTCAGAATGTAGTTAATCACTGGTGCGACCAAATCATTTTTCACATCCACACACTTTAATATTCACACGCGTATGCAGTGAAAGGCTCGGGAATACACCTCTACATCTAGATTATTATGCACTATGTGTTAACATAAATTGACTTTAAAATTGTTTACTCCCACTTGGCCCCACAGTGGAAACAGGACTGCCAGTGTTTAACTAGCCAAAGACATGGAAACTGTGATTTTTAGTTTGATGATCCCCTCACGCCTACTCTAGCCCTAACCCTGTTCCAAATCCTCACACTGCCAACCCAACTCATGTTCAGTGACATTTTAGGGATATTCTAGCTAATGCTCTTATTCCAAGAAGCATCATTTTGAGGCATCTCTGCTAACGTTTTCAAACCTTTTCTTTATATTTGTATGTGGGAGAACAGTGCAGGCTGTGAGCACCACAGCTGAAGAAATGTATGCGCCATGCTCAGCTTCATGCTATCAAATGTTTGTGTAAACAGTGTTACCAAGCATTACCATGAGGTTTGCTCAAGTTGTGATCGCAGACACTAGAAATAACCCACTGTGTCTGTTTGTCTACAGGTATTGTATTTTGCTGCAGCAGAAAGAGAAATGGGAGGAGCAAGAGGGGCGTGGTCAGAAAGAGAAGGAAGAACAAAACCAGCAGATCCAGAAGAATCGGCTACTACAGCAAGAGAATCTGCAGCTAAAAACAGAAGTGGACAGGTACTGTTTTTTTACACAAAGTCACACTGTCAGACATTGACTGATCAGTTTGCCAACTATCTTTTCATCATTCAAGAGTCTCGTCTAGCTGTGGCAAGAATTTATGAGTCTGTGATCGCCTCTCTCACTTTTCGAAAGGCAAAAATATCATGTAGACTGATCCCGGTGTCACTACTAGAAGTCAAAAGATATTAGTTCAGCATTATTTTTTCAAATCAGCTCACAAGTTGTTTTTCCTGAGGTATAACCTTTGGAATGGTTAGGTTACAGTGAAACCACTGTGGTTAAGGTCAGACACAGAACTTGAGAGAACAGTCAGCTACTGATTTTAAAACTATTTGATCACTTGATGTTTCTCGTATTGGTATTATTTCCCTTCCTTTCTGATTTCTTCTTTCCCCCTGTAGATTGACAGAGAGCCAGTCGCATCAGTCAGAGCAATATGAGGGACTCCAGCAGCGCACAAATGAACTCAAGAGCTCATTAAGCTCCGCCCAGCAGGAATTGAGTCAGTGGATGGCACGATATGATTCACTAATGGAGCAACACCAGGGTCTCGATCTAACCATGACCAAACTAGACAACCACTGTGAGGTAAACAAAGCCTGTTATTTTAAAAGGGACAGAGATTTCTTGCAGCACAGTAGTGTTTGATTTTAAAACTCTTCAGCTTTCCCTTTGGACAAGTGGTCAGAATCACCATCTTTTTGTTACTTACCTGACGTGTGTGTGTGTGTGTGTGTGTGTGTGTGTGTGTGTGTGTGTGTGTGTGTGTGTGTGTGTGTGTGTGTGTGTGTGTGTGTGTGTGTGTGTGTGTGTGTGTGTGTGTGTGTGTGTGTTTTAGCTTTTGAGTCGACTGAAAGGAAACCTGGAAGAGGAGAACCACCACCTCCTAAGTCAGATCAACCTGCTAAGTCAGCAGAACCACACTCTGCTGGAGAGGAGCATGGAGAGCAAAGAGCTGTATCACCAGGAACAGAAACTATACATGTAACTGTACACAACACCCGCCTGGAATACAAACTACACATGTAGCTGCACAAAATGATACACCTGTGCCTCTACTAGTAACACAAACTATACTACCCCTTAACATCCAGAACATGTATAAAATACTCAAAAGGGTTAATGCAAAGAAGCTACAAAAATTTAATAAGAGCTTACAATATCTCTCTGTGTCTGTCTTCACTCAGTGATAAGCTGAACGCTCTTCGCCGTCAGAAAGAAAAACTAGAGGAGAAGATCATGGACCAGTACAAGTTCTACGACCCCACTCCAAAAAAGTAATGCTTTTATTAACACCTTTAATTTTCTTTTTGACAGAAAACATGGAATAGCTGTGCATAGTGCAGTATGTGCCCCATATAACTGGTTCATTTATTTCAGATTTATGCTTGATATATAACAATTATAAATGTGTGTCGTCAGGAGGAGTCAGTGGTCCGGAGCCAAAGCTTTAGCCAAACTGATTAAACCCCGAAAGGAGAGCAGCAGGGAGCAGGGGGGCGACCGAGACAAGGAAGGAGGCAAAGAGAGAGAACGAGCGAAGAGCGCCCCAGACATCCCTCTACCCGCCCCACCTCCCCTTCTGCCCCCTGAAACTCCACCCCCACTCCCCCAGAGGACGGCAAGTGACACGCAGGACGGCAGCCATGCCCATAGTAACCATAGCAACCACACCACCAGCCCCAGCATTGGACCCCAGAGTCCAGCACTCACGCCCATCAGCCGAGGTAAACGCACTCACACACACACACATATCCAGGAATAACAAAGCCCCTCTTCATAAAGCACCCTGAAGGATTTCACCCTGTCAAAGACCGGTTCACAAGTTCAGAAACGTGACATCAGCAGAGAAGTTAATGTGGTTTGCTTTTATGGGGTATGGTAGAGAGGAAACTGTACAAAAATAGTTTTTTATTATGAAATGCACATACAGCCTATCCAAAACCACAAAGCTGACAGAACATGGTGACTTGGATCAGGCGCACCTCCCTATCTGCTCCTATAGAGGGCGCCGTTGACCACCACATATCTGACTGATTTCTTTACACCTCTGTTTGTGATTTCTGATGTGTTAACATCCACTGTATCTGTTCTCTAATGTGTTTCCACGTTAACCAGGCTCTGCTACTGCAGTAGAAATTCCAATAATACATGGAGATATCAATATATGTTCTAAAGTAGGTTTTGACTGCATATTTTCCAAACTTTAAGTTCTCACTTACAATTCTAGTTAAAATATTTGGTAGGTATGATACTGCATTTGTCAGAAAGAAAATTATATACATATAGTAAATACAGTTTTATACAAACAACACAAATTCAAAAATTAACGTCAAATAACGTTCAGTCAAACTCAAAATAGAGAAACACAATTTAATAAGTCTAAGCCTTTTTTGGACACCTTGCATTTGTCTTTATTTTAAACTTATATGATGCAATTTCTGCTGCTAGGGGGATGTAGATGTAGTTTGATGACATTGTGAAGTAGTGTTGGATCATTACAGTAGTTGCCTCCATTGTTTAACAACCACCACTGGCAGAAAGTATGTTTAGGACAAGGTAATGTATTAATGTCTGATTCATGTTATGTTTCCTATGTTATGTTCCTTTCACTCTCTGCCGTGTTTACCCAAGAATTATAGCACCTAGAGCAAGTAGGAAACACACCGCTACCTGTATAAAATGACTGATTTCTCATTCTGGATTATGCAAGTACCCACCTGCACCATATATATATCGTAGGTCTGGTGTTACATATAATACGTTTAACTTATGTTTACAATTGTGGTTTTAGTAAGCTTAAATCCCTAGATGGAGACATGGATTAGTGGCAACAAAAATAACTGACTCTAGATTGAAGTGCTGTTAAAAGTAACTGTAACTGTGTGTTTTGAAAAATAACAGAAGACTATGAGCCCCTTGAGAGACCGGAGTTACTATTATCATCAGACTTATTGTTATAATACTGAAATATGCCAAAAATTCTCATAGACGTCCTGCAAAAAAACAACAACAAACAATCAAGTTTGGTCTTTTCTTGGCTTGTTGTGATGCATGGAATGTCACTGGTCGTCACTTTTTTAGTTTGGGACAATCGGTCACTGAAGACAGCTAGAGAGGAACAGAATGCTGGCAGGCGTTTGGGATAACTCTGAGCAGTCTGAAATGACAACAAAGATTGCTGTGACGGACAATCATTCTTGTGTCAACACAACAGGTCAGCGTACTGAATATCCAATGAAAACATAAAAACATTTTGTTTAGATGATCAGATAAGCAAAAATTAGTTTGTGCTAGTTATAGTCAGCTATATATAGTCAATATGAAGGGTAGGAAGTAAGATAAAACTAAATTACGCTACAGAAAATTCCAGTCTGTCCATTAGCTATAGCTGCTAATCCTTTGGAGAGACGCAGGCGGCTGGAGCTGATTCCAGCTGACAGTGGGGGAGAGGTGGGGTACAGCCTGAACAGGTCACCACTGGCCATCACAGGGCTGACACATAACCAGGCAGACAACCATTCACACTCACATTCACACTTACGGGTGTCGCCAGTTAACCTAATCTGTGTGTCTTTGGACAGCTGGAAGCCGGAGCACCCAGAGAAAACCCACTCAGACACAGGGAGGACATGGCTTTCATGTCAAATTTACCTATTCAAAGAAAACATACTAAGCAGATGAAATCACTCTTTCAAATAAACTACTCAAAATTCATAAACAACCAACATAGATGTGCAGTATCGACTAATAGCTGACACAGAAAAACACGATAAACTGTATCTCAAGAGTCTTTACATTTTTTTGAAATACTACTATTACAGTCAAATGTCTTCGGATCATGTTTATGTGAGATTTGTGAGAAGTGATCCATATATTTCAACTCTATTGAACTTTTATTTGAATGCAAAAGCAGTAACATAAAATAAACTTTAAAAGATCATAAGCATGAGAAGCTTGGGATAGTTCAGTTGGGCTCCTACAAGCCACTAACACTGTCCTGCCACCCCACCCGCTCTTTTTTGCTGGTTGGGTGATATGCACCTCACCCCAAAACTGAAATGAAACCTTCACCACAGGCAGAGCTTAAGCTTATTCTGTGGAAGAGCGTAATGTGAGAAATCTGGAGGCAGCCAGTTTCCTGTTTGTCAGTCACATAAAATGCATCCTCTTATGCTTAACATTATAACTCAACAACACAAACTGACCACTAATCTTGTCGTAGCAAGCCGTGGCTGCAGCAAAGGTGCTCTGCCTCGGTTAGACTGGTTGAAATCTAGTAATATGGTGATGACAGTAATAGAAACTGTTGGCGGTGTAGGACCACTATACAACCTCATCTTTAATCCAGTTTTGTTTTTTTCACACCAAACCCAATTTACGATTTTTTTTTTTTTTGTGGACTGTTTCTGGCGAGTGTTTGTTGGCTGCGGTCCTGTATATCTCGCAGAGAGCAACATTTCTCTCACTCGGCTGCATGCCTCTGCTTGAGGTAGTGGAATAAATTGGTCATACTGCTACCTTCGGTTGCAACAGCTTTCAAACAAACTTTGCAGTGGGTCGTGGTTTGTTCGCTGTCGGACTCCACAAAACCGAACCAGTTCCAAACAACCGACGACACTGTGCCTTTTTTGGGGACGAGCTCATCCTGGCTTGCTGCCATGTTTGTTTATCTGTGGAGAGGCGGGGGGAGGTCAGCGCACTCTGACCTACAGGAGCCCAAAGGGAGTGCCAGTGTTGTGGAAGTTCAAGAGAAAACCGATTTTAACTAAAAATAAATCGTGTTTAACTACAAATTCGAATTAATCGATAAAATGGATTTATCGCCCAGCCCTAGTTTGTAACAAGTGGTTGCAAGTAGACATAGCTTTGTATTAAGTGTCACATATAAATAACCACTATACACTGTAGCTACCTGATGCTTCCCTTTCTACCCAAATATTAAAACTGGGTTCTAATGCATGGTCCAAACTGTCTTAATGTTTTTTTTTTTTAATTTCCATGGGATGTCTTTCTGTATTGCTCTACTCTTGAATGGGTTTCTACTCGTGGCTGAGCTCAGTTCACTTTTAGTTCAAAAAGTGGCTTTGTTAATTGAATTACACTGGCATATGGAAGCTGTCATAATCAGCTTATTGAAGGAGATAAGTTGAAACATAAACAATAAATTGCTCTACTATACAGCTATGTATGTCTAAATATGTATGCATAAATAACTCTCCAACATATGCCAGAGTTAGACCTACAATTTCCTGTGTTTGAATTCAGAGTGAGCTGAGGTCAGGTCAATGCATGGGTTTTTTACTTGGCAATAGATTTCTGTTCTCTTGTTTTATTCTAATGGATTTTCTTGCATGGTTATGTATCATTTTGCATGCCAATCACATACTTAATAACTTCTTGACCAACTGTTTTCTTTGACTCACTCACTGTCATTGTTTCATTGATTTCTTTACATTTCTCCATCTTTCCCTCCTATCTCTCTCTATTCTCTCCATCTCAGCTCCCACCCCAAAACGCTTCCGTTTCCTCCGCAGTAAAAGTCAAGACAAGCTCCTCTCCCCACTCTCACCCACACCCTCATCCTCCTCCTCTTCCTCCTCCTCCTCCTCTTCCCGCCCTCCCCTCTCTCTCACCAGAAGACTGCGATTCTGGTCTTCTACTGACATCACAGCTGACGTCAACACTAGCCAGCCAGTGACAGCCAACGGAGTGTTCTAAAAATCCTCCTCTTCATCATGCTTTTTAAACATACACATCCTCATCATCTTCACTCCCACCTCCACATCGGACAACAACACATGTCCCTGAAAAATGCACATATCATACATGCATGCACTTCATAAACACTAATGCAGATTGCACACTCCTCAAGCACACATATAAACAGAACACACACAAACAGGTGCGTGTTGCAGTTGTGAGCCAGCCAGTGGTACTAGTAAGTAGTGTGTGTTTGCAGAGATTGTTTTTGTGTGATTGTGAGCGCACATGCACATGTTTCCAAGCACGTCAGACTTGCCCACGTATATATCTGCTTGTCCTTGAAGAGTTCATTGTTTTTGATTTGTGTCTGTTTAAAAAATACTTGTTTGTGTGTGCTGTCACCTCCTTTACCGTGTGTCTCTGTGAGGCTTCATGTTTGTATTAGGAGCAGATTTCATTTCAGTCTGTTCTGAGCTGTGAGTTGCTTGAAGATAGATGTGTTTGCTTCACAAAGCTTTGCTTCAAAGTTCACTCTTTATTCACTCAGCAGTGGCTCATCACAGCCATCATACTGCGATCTTGTTAGTTCTGTCTGCCTGTGTACTTGCTTTAACCCTTGGTCTATAAATCCTGAAATACACCAAGCACCAAAAGACTATATGGCCTTTAAACACTTTCACACTTTCACACTAATATCAGCATATTTAAAGCTGCACTTCAGGTCAACTAATGATGATGATGTGAAAAACAAGGGGGATTTTGCTAAAATAATAATTTTGATGTTAGATATTGTTACCGTTGGAAAGTGGTCAAAATAACCAGAGCAAAAACAAGCATATAAATTGTCCTGGAAACAAGAGTTTAGTTGGGTAGTGTTAGAGGATGTGGGTGAAATACCAACTCTTACGCTGTTTGCCGCAAGCAAAGATTCTGAAAGTCGTTGTTGTTTGCTAAACACTAAACTTTAAAAAACTATTTGTATAGGGGCAAGTAAAATTGATTTTGTTGGGCAAATTAAAAAAAACAATGTTGAACCCCGGTCTTAACAGAAAGCAAGTGCTATATCAAGTGAAATATGGAAGAAGAGTGGTTGATTGTCATCACTACCTCCAGTAGTACGCCATGACAAAATATGTTTCATTATACAGAGTATAATGAAACTCTTTAAACATTTACCTGTTGTTGCTGTTTTGCCATCAAAATGTGCAACTGCATAGTCCAGAAATGAAATGCTAAATAAGGTTAACAGGTAAGGTTTAGTGTTTGGCTCAGATATTTTTTTTCCTGTGTTCTGAGTAAACATTTGGATAATCCCAATTTTCTTGATGACACATGGCAGCTATTTGCATAAGTGAAGATGTGTTTTTCTTGAGAACATCCATTTTCACACCTTTATTCGCTTGGTGTTTAGATGACGCACAGTGAGGATTGTAACAGCAGCTGCATTCTTCACAGATGGAACCGCAATAAACACAGGTGTTACCAATGACGCTAATTAAGCTTCTGTTCCATTCAGGTCTAACAGAGTCAGCTATTGCTGCTATTGTGCTTGTTTGCTCACTGGAAAGGCTCTGCTACACTAAATGGAACTAAACCTTAATCATCATTAATTCAAATTTTATGTGTTCTATATTTTTTTGTGTTTTCTATGATCATTTCATTTACGTACTTAAACTTTGAAAGTGTCTTTGTGCACCATGAAAAGCACTCTATAGATAAAATGTATTGTTATTATTAGTAGTACAATTGGTAACACCTGTCTTTACCCTAATATTTCATGTCAAAATAGCTGCTGTGAAGGTCTATTAGTAATTTCCAGTCATAATGTGTGATTAGAATCAGACACATTCACTGAGTAGTAACTGATGTTACATATATTTGTAAGCTTCCAGTTTGCCTGAATCAATGAACAGACTCCTCATGTCTTGCTTGGCTTTCTTGCTACTCTATGTTACGCACACCACACGTCTCATGGTCTATACTGTGGCACACGGGTCGAGAATGGTTCCTTACAGTTTTCTGATTGGTCTGCAGGTTTGACTGACAGGAGCCGGGGTGTTTATCGTAGCAGTACTCCAGGAGGCAGCAATGAGAGTATCAACGGAGAAGATGGACATGGACAAGGTAATTCATATATTAATGCTTATACCCATAATATTCAATCAAAAGCAAGTTTATTAAGATGGAAGTCCAATTGAGATTTAAGGTATTATCATTTTCACATTTATTTTGAGATGATATACTTATTGTAAGCCTGTACGATGTTTACTTTGTAAACCACCTGCTTGGATTGAGTGTGAAATCAGCAACTGGAATCATTTCACTTTTCATTTAGTTTGAAAACATTTTAAGGTCTCTGCATATTCAGTGTTAACAGTGGCTGTGTAATTGATATCTTTCTTGCTTTAAAATGTAAACTGAGACACTGGGAAGGAAAGGGAAAAGAATTAAGAAATGTGTACTTTGTAAAAGGAAGCAATAGAGAAAGAGGGAGGCTAGACTTTGATAAATACTAATGGTTAATTAATGGGTTTTAAAATTAAATTAAAAGAAGACATACAAGTGTATCTCACTAACATACTAGCACAGATGTATCATATTACAAAAAGGGATTTTCTGCTTTTCAGTAGAATATGAAAGAATTATTCTGCAACAAGACAAAGTAACCTCTTTTCCTGCCTCAGTTCAGTCCCTTAAAGTTCTTAGTTCCACTCCGAGCCACCAGTCATCTTCAGCAGGCCTAACCAACAGCTCCAGACTGGGACAAGGTCCCAGCCGCAGGCCCAGAGGTAAGCCAGGTTATTAATACATAATACCTTATTCCAAAGTCAGCAAGATTGTGAGTGTATTTATGATGGTGGGTGAAACATTTCAGGTCTGTTATTTGATGAAGACTCTCGCCACAACGCCTCCGACTCAATGTTTGGTCACCATGGCAACACGGGAGGTCGCCCAGGGTCGGCAGACTTTAGCCACAACACCTCCAGCTCCAACTCACCTGTCAACTGCAGAGGTACACACACATTTTAACAGCCAACTCTGTCTAAAGCAATATTTAGCAGGATATTTGTATAGATGGAGCTATTATCTATTACGGATAATAGATAATAGCTCGGTCTATATACAGTTCATACAGTGTTCTGTCCTATAAACCCTGCTGTAATCAGGGGGTAATAACGCTAATATCTCCCTACGTCTTAGACTCGTCAGATCGTCAGGGTCGCTCAGCCAGCCTCTCTAGTGATGATGTCATGGGTCTCAGCCAATCACAACAGACCCTGTCACGTAGTTCCACACTTCCATACGACCACGCACCCCAGAGGGCCCAACCACAGCGTGGAGTCGGCATTAGGACCAAGGCCCGCCCATCTTCTCCTGGAAGTGAGATGGTGACGCTGGAACAGTTTCTACAAGAGAGCAACATACAGTCACCTCCGATGGTAATATATGCATATATTATAAAAAGAAATCTGCTTTTGATGATAATATGTACACACACAACAAATATAGTGGTATAGTTATATACATATAGTGTGTGGTAATAAATACAAACCGTCACAGTATATTAATTTGCTCAAATAATAACACACATGCACTCAGTGTTCACTTTGTTATGTGCACCTCCCTGTTTTTATATCTCATCACCCGAGACAGAGAGTTGTCTACAAATAAAACATAACACCAACACAATAAAAACCCATGACAAGTGAATTCCCATTTATGTACACACCTCTTCTGTTCTGGCTGTTAGTGGAGTTAATGTGGTAGGTTTAACTTGGAAAGAAGTGTGAAAGAGAACTGCTGCACAGTGAAATACAAACTAACAGTCACCAGTGAGAGAGAGCAAATCATTATTAGAGGTTCCTGTGGGTCATTGATTTTCCACAAAGAGGTATCTGTATAGATAGGGGATATGAGAAATGATCAGGGAAAGTCTGAGGACATTAGGAATGAGTCACCTTAAAAGAAGATAGCAGAATGTGTTTTTTAATATGAATCACAAATTCATTGCCTTTGATGGTGTTTTGGGGTTGTTGTTTTTTTATTGGTCATCCGCACACCCAAGAAAAAAACAATGGCTGATGGATTCAATGTTCAGATTCATCTTCAACCAGCTGCTGTACACCATTTTGCTTACTGCTCTGAAACTCTTCCTGTCAAAAAGTAACTTTTTGGATTGATCATGTGGCCTGTAGATTGAAGGCAGCAACTCAATAAATGTTACGATAGATGCAAGATTTTTTGAGCACTTCTAATCAAGGCCCATGAAATCTGCTGATGTTTGGTTCTGAGCTGCAGCACTCAACATGAAATATTGGGTCATTCTTTCAGAGAAAAGGAAAGCCAGTTTTCTCCCTGAAGCTGTTTCTTTCTTGGATTTAGAGATTGAAGTAGATTTGAAGTTTAACTGCAGAAACTCTGCATACAATCATTGTATGCATTTATTTAAAAAATAATCTGTACCGATCGCGAATGATTGAGAAATGTTTTGATATTTATTCGTCAGTGGTTTTTTTAAAATTATTTCTTTTGACAATTTTCAGACTGTATTTTGAGTTTCTTGTTTCAGTATTAACTTCTCTGGTTGAGGGGAGTCTGTTCGGACTGTAATTTGGAGCGTAATCTAGATACTTCTGTGGTTATTTTAAATTTGAAACACCAATTCTGTTCTAATGCTGACATCTAACTTTGAGGAAAGACACTTTTTACTCTTACTTACTACTTATTTTGCAATAATATGGAAAAAGAAATGACGCATGTTATGTTAGACAGCATATCTTTAATCATCATAGAGTTGCACATTATTAATAAATGCAGTTTAATGTCAATGATAGGAATCTACAGAGCAGACCACACAGTTGGCTCATGGAGTGACGTTTCTGATAGTTTTCAACTGAGCAATAGACACTCATTAACTAGTCCTTGTCCAAATGTATCTTCTCACTTCTAGACTAACAGTTGTGAGAGAGACTCCTGCCTACAAATCAGATGTTTCATTCCAGCCTGTCATCTGTAGATGTACGGCTGAGCCAGACATGTGAAATCAGCGTGAGAATATTACTTGAAGTCTCTAAAAATCAGAGCAAACAGATATCCTGTCTTACTAAAAGAACTTCACCACCCATAATAATTCTTATTGATGAGCCACAGAGAGGGAGAGGCCTTCATGGTTGCCTCTAAAACGCACATTCCTATGAGCAAAAAAAAGAAATGCATGATGATCCAGATACCAAGTTTAAATCAATATTATAAATGAATGAACACTGATCCCCACCCTTACATCAAAGGTTTTTGTTTCACAACAATCGACCAACATCACACGTTTCAGTGTTGGCTGAAAAAGTTAATTCTTTCTTTCAGAAATAACAGTTTTTATCACACTCGCTCACAAAGCACATAATAGGAAGACAGAACTCATAATAGTGAAATTGGAATGTAGTAGATTTAGGCTATGGAAACATTCTTTGCGTCATTTAAACTTGGACAGAAGGTGTGTGAGTGGTTCAAATGGGGCTCAACAGCACATTTTTTGACCTGGGACAAGTTAATTCAGCCATGGTTTTATGTGATACTTGCCAGTGAAGTATAAAATAGCACATGTCAACATGATTAGTGTTAGCTTTTTATTTGTCACACAACAGTCAGATAGGGTAGATGTCAGTAATCAATACATGCAGGTGGGGAGTGCTGTCTGCCAGTGGAAAATGAGTGACATGATATTTCTGTGTGCTACCATCAGCCACTTTCCAATCTCGCTGTCTCGTCAAATCAGTGTTAGCTAAACGGAAAAATATCTCCCTCATTTATTCTTTCTATTCTTTTTGTTTCCCTTTTTCCAGGTGTCTACAGGAAGCAGGGAGGACCTGATGGCAGACTATTTCACCAGAAGTCCCGCCCCCTCTACACCCGCTGGCAGAGACCAGGTGACTCCCACCAGCTATGTCACGCCCACTGTGCAGTCATCCACCCAGAGGCCAGGTCAGAGTGTCAAGCCCTCACCCCGCCAGCCTGTGGGCCAGTCCCCAGCTTCAGGCCAGCCTTCCACCCAGAGAACCAGCCAATCACTGAGCAGGGCTTTCAGCCTGGCCTCAGCTGATTTGCTGCGCTCCAACGGACCAGACAGCTTCCGTGGCAATGAAGGCCAATCAGACGTGGTCGTTCGTAGACAAGGGGGAGGGGCTGGGAGAGAACGGCCTCTCTCCGCTCGCCTGGCCGGTCCGACCAATCAGCACGGAGATGGCAGCTTTCTAAACCCGCCTATTCACCATTCGTCCTCTCTCAATCTGCAAACAGAGAGGTACGCAGAGAGAGAGAGAGAGCGAGGCAGGACTGCCGTCTCTCGGAACGGCCCCTCCTCATCCTCCCCCTACCACCACCATGGGGAGGTCGCCATGGTAACCCCCGTCAGAGCCGTGCCTGCTACGCGGCCCGAAGAAGCCTCTGAGCATGGGGAGGTGTTAAGGGACGGGCAGTCAGGTGACTCCTCCCACTTAAAGAAAGAAAGCGAGAGAGCCAGGTGTGGCTCTGTCGAACGCCCGAAAAGCACGCCAGCTTCCCCGGACCCCAACAATGACCCCCAGACTGTGTGGTATGAGTACGGCTGTGTCTAAACACTGAAAGTAATGAAAACTATGGGTGTGGCTGTGTCTAAAGACAGAAACCAAATACTCAAACAAACTACAGTCTGCTGGGGCTGAATACTGGATCTTTATGGGCTGAGTCCAAACCCTCAGACACAAGTAATCAGTCTCTGGACTGTGCCCTTTGTGTTGTGGATTAATAACTCTTTATTGTTAAGCGTTGCTCAAATATAACATCAATTGGAAATCGGTCTAAATCGGATGCAATTTGGATTTAACCTCAGTGACTGATGGTCTTTTTAAGGATTTAGACTTGAACGCCACAACACTATAGATGGTCTCTGAGAATGCTGGAATTCATTGGTCTCTGCTGTTTTTACTATCACAATGTTTACTATGATTCAGCAAGCAGCCTGAGCCCTCAGGACGTTTTTTTCCCGGGGCAAAGGAAACTCCAACATTTTTTTTTTTTTAAGAAAAGGTGTTGCTATTACTGGAAAAATGAATTGTTGATGTTATGACCAGATGATGGTCCAGATGTTGTATTGTGTGTGCTAATTTTAACACATACAGAAATGGAGATGGAAGCTGAGATGTGATGAGATGATGAGTGTCTGAATCCATAACACTTTAATCCTGCAGGAACAGAGGACAAGTGCTACAGTTGTGGACCAGAATACTAAGGATGGGCTCAGTCTATGAGCTGGAACTCTTTGACTGTTGACCGACACACTGTCTGGCCCTACTAATGGATGCCACCAATTCTGCAAAACTGTACGCCAGGAATTAGCCAACTCCGAGAGGGGTGACTGAACTAAAGCCAAGGCGACCAGAAGCACCAGAGCGACTGAATGTATCAGATTTCTCCTCCTTTTTCTGTCCTCCTCCTCTCCCCTGTTATCTAGAACAAACACTGGAAGAGACGAGAGATGAGGGAAGGAAACGGAGGAATTCAAGCGAAGAGAGTGGAAGCAAGTGAAGGAGAAAAGGGGTAGAGAGAGAGAGAGAGTAAATGGAGGGATGTTGGGATAGAGAGAGTGGTGGACAGAGGGGAGACGGATATAGTGACGGGAGGACAGATAGATAAACAGGACAGAGACGGAGGGACTCCTCCCAGTTAAATTACAGTGTTTCTCCCTCCATCTTTAGATTCTGTCCCAGCATGCAACACTCTTGACACTTTACTGGAAATGTTGCTTGGCCCGAGCCAACACTAGTTTCACAAACACACACACACACACACACACACACACACACACACACATATACATATACATATATATATATATATATAATGATATACACACACACAGAGGCATTGTCCTTGAGGGGGTTGGTTGTGGCTTCGCTAACCGTTGAGCTGGACTTAATTCACACACACATGCACACACACACTCACCGCTGGCTAAACCACTGTGTTTTGGTTGGGTGTACTGCTGCACGCTAAGTTAGCCAGACAGTTGTAAGCACTGCACAACAGAGAGAGAGAGAGAGAGAGAGAGAGGCTACATCCCACTGTGATCTGGATAGATAGAGTTAGCATGTAATCAATTAGCTTTGGCAAAACAAGGTTTTTAGTTTTATGACTGAACAGAATGCACCAAGTGTTTGGTAGATTGCTCTCTTGGTAAACACACCTATTATGTAATGACATGTCACATTTAACTGAATGTGTCTATGTTGTTTTTTCTCAGTCTTATTAGGGATCCACGATATGGATTTTTCCGCCGATAGAACAACAACAATAAACAACAGTTCTGACTCAAAATAACTTTTTTTTAAACAAGTAACTTCACAAACATATTTTGAATACATTCAGCATAAAGCCTGATAACGATAATTCATCAGCTATACTTTCATTATCGGAATGATACATAATAATATCCATTTCCCAATACAGACAGCTCAAAATAATTCACAAAAATAATATTGTTTTATCTATTGACTTTCTATGAATTGGCCAAATTCATCTTTACTTTTATTGTGTGTTTTGTCTCTTTTTTGGCAAATAGATAAAACTGTAACCCTGGCAACCATCGTTAAGGTGTGAACCACCAAGTGGAAATGAGATGCTAGGTTATTTAAACGATATTACCACATGTATTATTGACATGATATTACAGTTGTAGACAATATTGGTACATGGCGACACGCTTAACCCCGATATATGAACATGACAGGGCGATGTACACAAGGAGTCAATGTTCTACTGAAGACACAATGATTTTGGCATCGGTGTTGTCATCACTGATATGACTATTGGGAGAGTTAACAGATACTTGGTGTATTCTTTTAAGTCAATTTAAACAGAGAAAAGAAGGAAGAGGAGGAGGAAGAGGCGGGAGAAATGAATGAAAGCATCCCTTGGTGACAGATGTTAATTTAAAAATGAATCCTGATCAACTGACCTTTTGTCTGTACTGCTATTTGTAAATGACAAAGCTGTCCTTCCTGCATTATTAATGACTGACGGTTCATAACAAGCACTAGAATGATGAGGAAGAGGAGGATGTAACACTGGAGTTGTGAATATGAACATTTGACTGGAATCCATCACTAACCTTTCCGCTCAACCTTTTGAACAAAATGTCAATATGCAACAAGATAAATTATTCTACCTGTAACATTTGTACATGACATTAGATTTTATAAACTGCTCAAATATTAGAAGACTTTTTGTAAAATCTTCTGGAACTTTACCTGGAAAATGTTTGTTGATACCAAAAACCCCAATCCAGATCGATTCCTGTAAACTGGTGAAAATCCAGCCAGTGATTCCACTGTAAAACTCATTGTTTGTAGATTGTTTTTACATATTTTACTAGAAGTGAGATCATGATGTGAAACACTGTGGGTTGATGCTGTTAGTAGAGCTGCAACCTGTTATGTTATGTCTGCATAGATGCCTCATCTGTGCATTATTAGTTCTTAAAGCCCTTCAGGGTGTGTGTGTGTGTGTGTGTGTGTGTGTGTGTGTGTGTGTGTGTGTGTGTGTGTGTGTGTGTGTGTGTGTGTGTGTGTGTGTGTGTGTGTGTGTGTGTGTGTGTGTGTGTGTGTGTGTGTGTGTGTGTGTGTGTGTGTGTGTGTGTGTGTGTGTGTGTGTCAGTTTGCTGATGTCAAAAGGAAAGAGAATATTGGTTTCCTGGAAAGATTTTTATTGCGAGACCATCACACACACTTGTGCGCTTGTGTGTCTCACATTTTTATTGGCTTGGCTGAAATGTGTGTGTATGTTTGTGTCCTGTCTGTCTGTTTGTCTGCTTTGCTGGCCACCTGTGTGTCAGTCTGTTCACCTGTCTTACTGCCCCATGATTCCCCAGTTTTGGAGATTGTTGCTATTGGTCAGCTCACCTGCTCAATGTTAAAAGCAACAACAACAAAGTCATCAGCATGACTCTGGTGCTTCATGCTGGTGCACCAGCAGGCTGAAGCCGTCGTGCAACCTGCAGCACAAAAAGATTGAAACGAAGGACACCAAATAGGTGGAGTGCAGCATCACAGGAGAGAAGTGAAAGCGGAAGGCGAAGTGGGTCTGACGTCACTGGCATTTCCTGCGTTAACTGGAAGAACTGCTACTATAGTTCACTTTATTGCTGACTGCTATGCTGTGATGTGACTACTGTTAAAAGGCTACTAGTGTGATTCAGTAGAGGCTGAGGTTGATGTTATTCCACCCAGAAGCTTTTTGGTAATAAAGATTTATAAACTCGAAGTGATGCTCCTACCTCATTGTGTCAGCTGCTCTTCTGTATGAGTGTCTTTCCTTTACGACAGATGTTCTTCATAAACAGTTTGGGTGCGACGTTAGCATGTCAGTAGTTTTTCACACAGGAAAGATCATTTCATTTCATGTACGTTTCCTGCTGTGACATCAAAATATGTGAAATGATATCAGGATAATATTGCAGATATCTATTTTTTGGTAGATACAGGAAACATTATATTTAAACCCCCCCTCCAGTTAAACAATAACTAACATTAACTATCATTAATTTTATTAATATATTGATATAAAACATTTTGCTTGATATATATTAAAAAGAGCAGATGAGACTTTTTTACAGGAAGGTGAAACCATAATTAAAACCTGAAATGCAAACCTCAACCAAGATGTTTCGGTTCTGTAGAATCAACCATGTCAACTAAATAGGTAAAATGCTCATATGAGTACTTTTGGAATGCACCTGTTCTGTCATTTGTGTATGAGGATTTGTTATTTTTAACTTGTGTAACACTCAGTGGTGAAATGGGTCATCATCCGCCCAACTTCCCTCACTTTTGTTGCCCCCGTATATTAAATATCATCCTGTTCATCACATATTTGGAATTTCAGGCTCATAGCAGAATTCCTAGAATTGGATCTAATATTACATCTAATATTTACCAGATCACCTGAAGGCACCAGGCACCAGCTACAGATGGTGATCTAGTGATGTTGACACGCACTCATTTATTGCTCCTTACTTTGAATATATTACTACTGTTTATCTCAAATGGTAATATTAACAAATAGACACACAACATAGTGGAATATTATTCTAGAGGTGTATGTGATGTTCGATGCATGACTTCACATAACACAGAGATGGAGAGATGGATAACTGTGTGCGTGTGTGTAGACAGTAATTGTAACCTAACTGACAGGAGGGGGTGACACTATGGAGGGAAAGATGTTGCAATAGCAAACTGATCTGTGAAAATCTGAATCACTGGAGCTCCTGCACACCTCCTCCCAACATTCACACGTAACACACTCACATTGGAGTAAATATTGTATGTACAAAGAGGTATAGCATGCTTAAATAATTATTTACATTTGTAGATTAAAAACAGCTCATTGTAACAAAAAGGTAACAAAAACACAGTGGTTCTTATTTTTAGGTGATTATACACTAATGAAAATATTGCTTGTTGTCACATTTCACATGCTGTACATATGGAAGCCTATTTCTGACAATGTGACAGGGAAAAAAAGATTCTGTAAGTCAGTCAAGGTTTCTAATTACAATCACTTCTTATAATCTTTTTTCCTCACATTGGCGTTAATGGGCTGCCATACATGTGCATACTTCAGTGGCCTTTATAGTTTAATGTGTAGAAACAGTCAACATATAGCCTATATTACCATTTCCACATGCATAAAGTCATACAGGCTGTGTGTAGCCTACTTACACAGTTGAAACAGCTTTGGTTTAGATTTTGAAATATATTTGGCTTTTGCGGTGTGTGTGTGTGTGTGGGTGTGTGTGTGTGTGTGTGTGTGTGTGTGTGTGTGTGTGTGTGTGGTGTGTGTGTGTGTGTGTGTGTGTGTGTGTGTGTGTGTGTGTGTGTGTGTGTGTGTGTGTGTGTGTGTGTGTGTGTGTGTGTGTGTGTGTGCGTGCGGGTGTGTGTGTGTGTGTGTGTGTGTGTGTGTGTGTGTGTGTGTGTGTGTGTGTGTAGGCAGAGTGTGTGTTTCAGGAAGAGAGAAACCACACGCGTGGGAACGACAGACAGACAGACAGACAGACAGAGAGAGAGAGAGAGAGAGAGAGAGAGAGAGGGTAGAAAGAGAAGGAGGGAGAGAGCTGGTGGTCAGTTTGCTGCAGAGCTTCCGACCGGAGAGATTCGGTAAGAAATAAGCGTCTTTATTTCAGTTAAATATGTGAATTACTGCTGGTTGAACTTGAGGTCCCACTGTAGCGTGTGTGTGTGTGTGTGTGTGTGTGTGTGTGTGTGTGTGTGTGTGTGTGTGTGTGTGTGTGTGTGTGCCTCTGCGGACAAATGAGGGAGAGTTTAGTTATTAGTTAGATTATTGATATTTATCGTACAGGAGCCGGTTCCTGTTGAGTACGGGTTATTATGGAGAGCACTCATGTGTTCATTGTGAGGAGTGAGATGCTGATCGGTGACAGGTGCGGTTAGAATGCCTGTACAAGAGTTATTCATTTATCTTAGACATTAAGTGTTGTCAGCCGCTGTTAGGGAGAGTCAGTAACAGAAACATTTACTCTCTCTCTCTCTCTCTCTCTCTCTCTCTCTCTCTCTCTCTCTCTCTCTCTCTCACTGGACTTCATTTACTGTGTGAAGGAGAAAAAGCTACAACAGCTGCAGTTCTTATTTTGGCTGTTTGATGGACTGTAGAGCTTCATGTAATGTTCAGAGAGAGTCACCATGTGAACACACCGAGTGGTGAACAAGTGTGAGGGCTTCCTCATCTCCACCTGTTGTGGTCCTCTGGTTTCACTGCAGTATTCTGTGTCAAACAGAAAAAATTAACCATTTTAGTATCAAACACTTCATTTCCCGCATTCTGGTGAATTATTTGCCTTTACCACATAAACTTATAGTGGAAATGTCTTTATTTATGTAAATTAAAACACAAAATTCAAAATATAACATCATATATAATGCAGTGAGGCTCTTAGGCATTCGATTAAATATTTATCCTCCTGTAGATCAACCTTTCTTTCTTCATTAAATGTTGTCATTGCTGAGTCAACACACGTACTGTAGGTGTGGTTTACTCCTCCGTCCTCTTTAAATATGCATTTTCATTCATTTAGTACCCCTGTGGAACTTTACAGCTCAAATGGGTTTCAGCAAGATTTTTCTGCACAGTCAAAACATAACACACACATCTGTGACCTCCTCCCCCTTTCTTTTCCCCTCTGGCTCCACTGTGGTTATCAACCATTCATAGTTGCTTCTTATTTTTCCGTTTTATGGCAGTGATTTATTGCTTTTGCCACAACTTGCTTTACTGGAGAAACTGTTGCATCTGTGAGTCGCATTCTAGTGGTTTGTCAAAATAAAAGTCCTCTGCTACTTGTATCTTAGAGCCTTACCATTAGTTTGAATTTCCATTATCATGATAATTGTGAATTGGAATAATCATGAATCTCACATTGTTTGACTTGAAGCTATCTAGCTCTACAGCATACAGTTCTATATTGATTTTCTGATTATTTTGAACAAGGAGAACTGGGTGAAACCTGCATCTTTCCATTCATTCCAAAATCTTAAGCCTGTGATCATGGCTGAAGGATCGGCTCGTTGTATCCCCCACAAAAAAACAGATTTATGGAAATAGTATTGGTTTACAAACAGGGAGATGAGGAATCTGTAATACAATAAATCAATGTGTTTCTTAACAAAATGTAAGGTAAGGTAAAGTATAAAGGTTATTTTTCTGATTATCGTGATAATATCCTATATCGCAATTATATTGGCCAAGATTATCATCCCATTCCCACCTATTACAGATATATCAGTATCAATGTATGTCTTATCTGATATGTGGCAATATGAAAAAAGAATTTCCCCTATATGTGGCAGAAAGAAAATCTTTAAAAAAATCTGGTATTATATTGTTAGTTCTGATGAAATATATTGAAGATGCTAATGGAGATTAGAATACCAAAGCATTTCTTAATATTAGTATTGTTGTGTTGACTTGTTTGATGTGCTGCTGTGCTAATGAGGAAGAGTGGGATTGAGAGATGTGTGTGCTGGCTGCGGGCCAGAGATGACTGCTGGTTCACCTCAGCAGCTCTTTCTACCTCACACACTGACTGACGTGTGGCTTAATGGAAACATACTTTTTTAGCTTATGATTGTCGGATTTCCAGAAGACAAGAACTGTAACTGAGTGAATGATTAAAGGGATGGATGACTGGACAATATCTTAAAGGGTCACTTCACCCAAAGTACAAAATAAGCTCAGGCTATATTCCCACTTGGTGTGCAGCCATGCAGTTTGATGGGTTGTAGTTTTGAGATCTTCGCTGCTGAGATTTCTGCCATCACCCCATGATACTCATTCAGCACAATTGGCTACTGCAACTTAGACATACTACGGAGTTTTTAGCTGGTTATGGAACAGTCTCAGTGTAATACTGATGCCTCTATATGACCTACATAAACAAATAAGACAATCAGTGAGAATGTTGGTTTTTAGTTATTCTGCCACCAGGTCAGATTCAGTCATATTCCCCTTGAAATCAATTAAATGAGGCATGAAAACACTACAGCTTTTGTCCACAGGGGCCGCCAGAATCAACACAAAAGGAAAGTTCCTTGTGGCTGCTTTAAGTAAAGGAACTGAGCACCTCTTCCACTGCTGGAGAATGTAGTTCTGCAGTTCCCCTCAGCTCGATGGAGCTTGGCCCTCTGGCCCATTTTTTTAGTTCAACATCTGTCTCCACCATGGAAACAGTAATTCAACAACAACAAAAGATGTGTAACTCACTTTCAAGTGCAGATTTTGAGACTTTAAAACTATGAGATTGGGGTTGAGGTTGAAAGTCCAGGTAAAACTAGTAAGCAGACCTGAAGTTAAGAAATGTCTGAAATGTTAAAAACCAAAGCTTGTTATGGCTACACCATTCCACAAATGGAAACATTCTAGATATCTTATACAATACCTTATACAATTTCCCCAAAATTCAGCCTGAAATATTTGATATCTTTGGCAATTTTGAGATCTTAACAATAAATTAATTAATAATTATAATGATTCATACAGTTCTGTGGGTTTGAACAAAGTTTGGCTGCGCAGCATGAGTTTAAAGTTGCTGAATTACATTTATTAATAAGCTGGTTTTAGTTTTTCCAGGAAGCTCTCCACTAGCTTGCAAGGTACCGAACTTTGACTCCTTCCCAACAAAAATGGCAGATCCGCTCAGCAGCTCTGTTAATTTAGCCTGTATTTAAACTTCCCATCCATCACATGTAGACACAATCTTACACTGACTCAGTTCTAGTAAGCTGTACTGAAACCATTTCAGTACCCCACAAACCATTAGTGCTCACCACAGCACAAGGAGGATAAATTCAAGACCTCACATACTAATTATGTGAAACCATCAACAGTTAAAAGAAAACAGGAAATAAAGGTAATTATGTTGTAACCAGAAACACACATAAACATAAACTGTAAGTGTAATTGATTTTTTTCCCGTATATTGAGGTTTTTCTGATCACCAGTCAAAGCAGAACTCCTCCAACTGCACAAATGACTGCTGATCACGGTGTAATTGCTTTTGACTTGTGCTCTTGGCAGATAATTCAGGCACCCTTTTTTAATCTCCTTACAGCCTGCCCTTGGGTCCAGGCACAGACATTGGGCACCAGTTGGACAGTGCAGTGGCTCTTTGTGTACACTAACCTCATTCATCCATGAAAAGCACTCTGCAGACATTAGTAGAAAGGTAGAAAAAAACAACCCCTGTGGCTTTATATACAGTAATAGCTGAAGCGGAAGTGCTAAATGTGGAGAACAAGGACTGCCTCAATGGCCCCTACAAGGGGGTCCAGTGGCTCTGGTGGAGGTTCCTTAGTATACCCAAGGGGGTTCCATGATGTCTAAAAGGACCCTTAATGATGGAAGTAGGTCCTCAAGGGTCCCTCTAGTGACTTGAAACTGCTTGTAGACCCCTGAAACATCGACCAATTCCACAGTTGCTCTCCACTTGGTAAATGGACCTGTACTTGTATAGCGCCTTTCTAGTCTTCCCACCACTCAAAGCGCTTTTACACTACATGCCAGATTCACCCTTTCACACACATTCACTCAGTGATGGCAAAGCCCATCAAACAGAAACTAACGCATTCATACACATTCACACACCGATGCATCGGGAGCAATTAGGGGTTCAGTATCTTGCTCAAGGATACTTCAACATGTGGTGGCAGGAGCCGGGGATCGAACCAACAACCTTACGATTAGTGAACGACCTGCTCTGCCTCTGAGCCACAGCTGGCCCTTGGAACCACAAGACAGCCCCTCTAAAGGCCTCCTGAGAGCCTCTAAAGGCCTCCTGAGAGCCTCTCAAGGCCCTAGAATAATCCCTGGCAAACCTTAAAGGCCCCTGAGTCTTTCTACAGGGCTACTGGACTCCACTGGCCCCAGTTGAAGTTCCAGGGTCACTCAAGGGTGTTCCAGGATCTCTCCACAAAATCTCCTTCAGGTTGTCTGGGAACTCCACCAGATGCTCATAGAGGACTAGTGTCTAATTAGGATAGTGAAAAAGTTGAGAGGATCCCAGGAGGCATCCTTGAGGGCCTGATGGAGGACCACTGGTTTGAGGTCTCAGGGGTCTTGAAAGGGATTTTGGAACAACAGTTCCATTATCAAGTGTTCTTCTAGAGACCCTGGAACCCCCTTGAGGATCAAAGAAACATCCACCATGGCCACGCGGAGGTCCAATGTCCAGTGGGTCCCAGGGGGCCTTGAGAGGATATCAGGACTCCTCTAGCAGGACGCGTGGCCTGATAGGTCTAATGGGCTCTCAAGACAAGGGAATAGGACTACCCTTAAAGACCGAGTTCCATCATCAAGGTTCCTTCAGGTCCCCCTGGAACCCCCATGAGAAAAACATTATATTTAGCTCATTATTACAGCGCCAACAGTTAAATAACCACATACTGTGTGGCACCCTTGATGGATCTTTGGGAAGTCCTGCTATGGTCCTGGACAGAATTCTAGGACAAAAGATTAAAAGATTAAAAATGGTTCTCAAGATATGTTAGAGATGAATTTCTTTCTCTCTCTTCTCATTCTCTGCCTCTTTCTTCCTCTTTCTATCTGATAAGCTTATCTATATGCAATTAGTTCTTTAGCTTAACAC